ATTACACCACAAATCATTACTTGATGCTACACGTTCAGTGATTTTACAAAAGCACTGCTAAGTAGGGAAGGGACATTCCCCCTCCCCCAAGCAGTGTAAAGTTCCATTGAGACAGTTGTAATAGTTTTAAATTTAAAATAACTCAGATACAACTGATTTATATTGAGTACCTACTATGTTCCAGGTACACTTCTATTATAGCCTCTTTTTGTTTCACTAAAGGTATACAAAAAGCATTAGAATATAATAATTATATTTTCCCCTAAACTTTGAATTGAAAAATATAAATTCACAATTTATACTGTTAGGGGCTAGATATTTAAAAGGAATCTAATTTGGAAAAAATGAAATTCTCTTATTCAAATTATAAATGTTTACTTAAGTTTCTTATTCTCACAATTTACATTAAGCATTATTAAGTAAATCTGCCTTCAAAAGTGTACAATGCAAGCTGGGCATGGTGGCACACACCTTTAATCCCAACACTCAGGAGACAGAGGCAGGAGAATCTTTCTAAGTTTGAGGCCAGCCTGGTCTACAAAGGAGTTCTAGGACATCTAGGAATGTTACACAGAGAAACCCTGTCTCAAAAAACAAAACGAAACAAAACAAGCATGCAATGCAAAGTCCTCCGGCATCAACATGGATATCAATTATCAATATACTAACAAGTATGAAAGTGTATTCAGGCTCAGATATGCTCTTCTGTGGTTTACAACCAAACAGATGAAGGCACCAAATTGTGTGTGATAACTCTTTGAAAAAAGAAATCTTGACCCATTTTCATTATCAGATTCTGAAGGTATAGGTGACAAAGCCAATTTCCAGGAAATCTACATATATTAGTCTTTAACAGTGATCTCATCATTTCCTTCACTATGTAGCAAGGTCATTAAAAGAATGAAATGTAGACCCCGTTTTAAGCATTTTAATGCTTGAACATATGGAAAATAAGAATGCAAGTTCCTCAAGACAGGCAGGACCCATTCCACCTGACATGTGTCTTGTCCTTATTTCAGCAGTGTGCTTGCTAAATGATTGCCCAGAACAGCGAAAAGGTTTAGGGCTACTTCTCTTCTCTTCACAGCAGCACTAAGAGGTAAACAGGCCAGTGCTCAGTATAGAAAGCTGTTATTTGGAACTCACACTAAATTGGGTTTTGCATGCATGGTTTATACTCTTCAAATATTTATAGACAGTTTTCTTTGCCTCCAGCTCTGGTTGTCACTTAGCCAAGTTATACATACATGGTTCTTTTAATCTTTTCTTAGAAATCAATTCCACTCAGCTCCTTAATCATTCTAGCTGCATTTTCTCAACTTTTAGCTATTTGTCTTTCTAGTGACTTAGACTGTTGAAATGTATGAAAGTGATATGGCTATGAACACGGAGAGGGTTAGCTGCTTTTCCATTTGAAGTATTTCAAGTTTCAAAGTATTTTATATGCAAAATAAAACTTTTCTTTTACCATGTCTTAAAAATTCTGTTTGTGTTGATATACCAAAATTTTTCCAAAATATTATCAGTATGATATTCTCTAAGGATAACAGTGTCACTGGCCAACATCTCTTGTGTCTACAGCTGGAGTGTTTCAATATGAGAAAATATAGGAATCAAAATTAACATAGCCACGCAGAAAAGTGCCCATTTCAAGATTTTAGCTATTTGTAGATATGTCTTACTAAATACAGCTTTTCAATTAAAAAGTAAAGTAGGCAAGGATTTAAAAAACAACAACAACAAAAACAAGACTCTAACCCTAAAAGCCCAGCAACCAAAGGGAGCCAAATGGAATGACATCAAACTAACAAATGAAACAATACATAATTACATTATCTTAAGAATGGCTATCAAACAAGATGAAAGACAATGAATGCTGAAGACAATGTGGGCGAATGGGAACCCTTTCCCACTACTAGTAAGAAAGTAAGTACAGCCATTATGAAAACTAATCAATATGGAGATCACTTAAAAACTTAGAAAAATAACTAACACAATCCACCAATTCCACTATTGGGGACATATCCAAAGGAAAGGAAGAGACACCTACACTGCCGTGTTCATCATAGCACTGTTCAAAACAGCCAAGAAACAGAACCAACCCAAATGTCACCAGTAAATAATAGGGGAAAATATGGCACTTATACACATTATGTTTGGCCATAAAAAGAATGCAATTTGTCATTTGAGACAACACAGATAGAACCTTATGTTAAGTGAAATAAATAAGGACACAAAGATTACTTCCTTGTACTTGAGATAACTTTATAAAAGTAGTAATTATAGTGGTTACCAGAGGCTGAGGGCCTGTGGAGGAGGAAGAAGGGATGGGGAGAGGCCTATCAATTGCCATTTAGTTATAGTTAGGAGTTAAGAAGCCCTGATGTGCTAGTGCATAATAGGATTACTAGAGGCAATAATGGTGTACTGTACATTTAAAGAAGTGACATGAGGATATTATAAATGTACAAAGAGACAGGTATTTAATGCTGAGCTGGGAGTGTAGCTTATTTGTAAAGTGCCTGCCCACCGTGCACAGATCCTTTGGATTTGGCCCTCAGTACTACCAAAACCAAAATAAAGAAAGAAAGAAAGAAAAAAAAAAAAAAAAACCAGAACTAAGAAAACAAGGTTTGTTTAACATGCATAAACACTGTACATGGCTTATAAATATCAAAACATTGCATGTTACCCTGACAATATATGCATCTCCCTGTTTTTAGTCCTCAGTTAGAAATAAAATTCTTAAAAATAGAAATAGTTGTCATTTTTGTGGTGAGAGTACTTCACATATCCTTTAAAAAAGTACTTTACAATAATAAGATGGGAATATAGCTCTAGCAAGCATGAGACCTTAGGCTTGTTCCCCAGTATCACCCATAGCCACAATTATATGTCACATCTGTTGAATTTTGTTTATTTCCATCACTAGTTGAAAGGGCACGTCAAAGCCAGGACATCATTTCACACTGCCTCCAACTTCAATAGTCCTTGGTAACTACCATTCTCCAATTTTACAAGATCACCGGTTTTAGAGTTGACATATGAGTGAGATCACATAGTAGTTTGTCTGTGCCTGGCTTATTTCACTTAACACAGTTATCTTCAGGGTCATCCATACAGTTGTAAATTGAGTCATTTTCTTATTTATATGCCTAAAGAATAGTCTATTGTGTGTGTCATATTTTCTTTGTTCATTTATGTGCCAGTGCGTATTTAGGTTGTTTCTATCTCTTGGCTACTGTGACTGCTGCTGTAATGAACATGTTAGTGCAGGTGTCTCTTCTGCATGCGGACTTTACTCCCTCTGGGTGTATATCCCCACTAGGAGGACTTCCAAAGCCTGCTGTGGTTTTACATTTAATTATTTAAGGCATTTCCATATAGTTTTCCACAAAGGTTATAGTAATTATTTAGCATACAAAACCCCCACATTTTTGATGTATTTTCTCCACTATATACCACTGTCTTATTATCTCAGCAATACCTTATCTTTTCACTTAAGAACAGCTTCATGTACTGTATTGTCTTCAACCATCATTTTTTTGATACCATAGGCCATTTTATGAGTAAGTAGATACACTATAATTTTAATTGTTATTGGACATTCACATAACTTCCATATTTTTTTCTTGAGCTTAACTGTTACTACACACAAATAACATCAACAAGGCAGGGGTAGAAATGTAGTACCGGTAAGCATTTCCTCAGCACACACAAAGCCCCGGATTTGATTCCTTGCACCATATAAAACAAACAAACAAACAAACAAACAAACGGGGAAAAAAAAAAAGCCAAAGAACAGTTTCTGCCCCTGCAGACTTAGACAATATAAGAGTGCTGTGGATGAGCTGGGCATTGGTGGCTCATGCCTTTAATCTTTACCAGCACTTGGGAGGCAGAGGTTGGCAGATCTCTGTGAGTTTGAGGCCAGCCTGGTCTTCAGAGCGAATTCCAGGACAGGCTCCAAAGCCACAGAGAAACCCTGTTTGAAAGAATAAACCAACCAACCAAACAAAAAACCACCACCACCAAAAACCTACCCCCTCAAAAAAAAAAAAAAAAAATCAAAACAAAACAAAAAAAGAGTGCTGTGGCTATAGATCAGGGGAGAGTGCTAGACTGGCATGCCAGACATCGAGGGTTTGGTCCACAGCAATGCCAAAAACGGAGTGGAGGTACACAGGCCTGTAATGTCACCCCAGCCACTCCAGAAGTGGCCGCTCGAGGTTCAGAATTTTAAGGTCATTGTTGACCTCAGCTTGTGGCCCTCCTGCACCACTACATCAGACCGTCTCAGAACAACAATAGGAAAGAGCAAGCTTCTTTGGCTGGCAAGGTGGCTCAGTGGACAACATGATCAGCCAAGCCTGATTACCCAAGTTAGATCACTGGAACCCACATTGTAGAAGAATACATCCACTCCTGATAGTTGTCCTATAAGCCCAACTGTGTGTTGTGGTGCACACACACACATACACACAATAAATAAAATTTAAAATATGAAAAATAAAACAAAATGCAAGAAATATATGAAAACAAGGGCAAACATTTACAGGCGTTCCTAAGGCTGTTCCTAGGCTTCCTAGTACTGTGTATTGAAACTCGGGCCTTGTTCATGTTAGACAAGTGTTCTACTGCTGAGCTATGACCTTGACTTTTAAGAAAGTTTTGAGATGAGACAGGGGTCTGCCAAACTGCTGACTCTGAACCCACTTTGTGGTCCAGGCAGGCCATCTGTATCACCTGAACTACCAGGCCCAGCTTCTAGATTAGCAAGCATAAAATTAATGGGTCAAAGGACACAAAGAAAGGAAATTCTGAGGTTAGAATCAGGTAGGGCAAATAGGACAAGGAGTTGTCTTTTGGCTGCAAAGCTCAGAAAGTTACAAAAAACGTGTCAAAAATTGCAACTTCCAATAACTGAAATGCTATACTTACTAATCCACTCCTCCTTTGACAGCAGTTGATTTCCTATTAGTCAAGCTTCATCTACTTACCTAGATCTACCATCAGAAGGCGAGTGAGGGCTGTGTAGAAGGTTGTTCGACACCTTAAGTCACTGAGACTGTAAGTATCACTGATGCCAAGAAATGGGAAGTGTTCACTCTAATGAAAGCAAAAGAGCATGGAAAGTTACCAATGTTTTACCTAACTATCGAGAAAATTTTAGTCATTAAAGAATTGAGACGTACCGTGTGGTTTTTTAGCATGAATTTCACAGCATCTATTTTTACAAGTTTTTTTAAAAGGATATAGGTAATAATGTTAAGGAATCTAGAGAAATATACACAATCAAAGCATAACTAAAATGGCATTTTAGTATGTAAGAAGAATAAATATTTCCAGGATTGCTTCTATAGAAATGTCTTTCATTTTGCTAAGAATGATAATCCATTATTAACTAGAGCAATTACTTTTCCATCTTATACATATTCTAGTTATGGAATGAAAGAATGAATCCTATAATTAAGTCAAGAACTTCTCACTATTAAAGCCTTGATAGGAGAAAATTGAAACTGACCCTTTTTACATTTGGGTATAGCTGGAGAATTTCTTTTTACTTAATGGTACTTCATAATAAAATTATTATAAAGACCCATAATAGACTATCAAGAAAGAGAAAATTATTCAATTTTAAAAAACAATGAACTCAAAAGTTTAAAACCAAAATCTAGTTAGAAAGAGAGCAAAATTCACATCATTAAGTTTTGAAAGACAGCTTAATGTAGCTAATATTTCTCAAGTGTTTAAGTGGAAGGCATTTTTTTCATGTTATTTTCTCCAGTCTTCACGATTACAGTGTTATTTCAAGTCTGCAGATATGAAAACAGAAGCTTAAAGAAATTAAGTTGTCCATCTATAAGATGCACAGATATGGCTGACTTTGCTGACATTTAATTCAAAGGACTGTGTGTTTCCTGTACCACATTATCATCAGAACAAGCCAACTCCGAGTGAGAATAAAACCCAGAGACCATAAGCATGAATACAAAGCACAGATGAGCTCTAGTCTACTTTGGGTTTTAGGGATGTGTACCCAGGATGCACCCCCTCTTCTTTCCCTTTACCCTATTCATGTCCTTTCTGCCAGAGCACATTTTGGCTCTTCTATGTACTTCCTCCTGTCTTCAAAGGCTTCAGCATTCTTACTTGGTTCCATTCATGTCATAGTGGAAACATCAGCTCTTTTCCTCCATATTATTTGTAAATTTCCTACATATAACAACAGTGAAAAACCCAGTTATCATTTTAGACATGGAATGGACAGCTCACCAGGACACATATCAGGAAATGTGGGCTCGTGGCTTGCCTAGACTGCTCAGTCATCTGGATGAGCCTGAGCAATGTACTCAGCCTCACCAAACCCTAGTTCCTCTCTAGCAAATAAGAATGGAGTCTATGGCCAAGGGACTGTACCGGTTGTTCTGAGGATCAGGTGATGTACACATCTTTAGTGATTATAAACCAGGGAAAACACAAGAAAATGAAGAAAACTTACAAATGGACACAAGCTATGAGGCCAATTCTCACGACTCTAACTGGTAGAACAGACTTACTTCCAGTTGTTCAGTGACCAAATGCATTAAAAAAAAAAAAAATCGACTTTCCCAATGACAAGCTGTTATGACTTAGATTTAAGTTTATCCAGCTTCCAGGTGACCACTGGAGTGGCATGTTATACATGTGTATCCCCAGGACAGGACTGGAAGCCACACACTCTCCTCAGTGTACTGCGTTTTCTGGCAACCAAAGGACAAGATCAGTGCTGGTGAGCAGTAAGCTTTTTTTCTTAGATTTAAAGATGCGGATCTGACGACTTTTCAGAATCATCAATCTCTGAGCAGATGAACTGCCACTCAAACTTCAGTCAGTTAAACAAGGGTGGGGAATCAATAAACTTAGAAATATCTTAAGTAATTACCAAAGGCAATTCTCTTAAAATTGCTAAGTTGAAAGTGACAGGGTATATGGGTAATATGAACGCTGACATTAAGAGGAACCTTCCTGTCAGCACTGCTAACAAACAGTACGTCATGTTTTGACAATAGAATATTTATGGAAGCAATAAACAGAACATCCAAGGATAAACATCATCTGCCAAAGACATTTTCTGCAGAACTGCATCTGTGCACTTTGTACCAAGGTCAGTCCCCAATGCCTTTTAAATTCTCAAGAAAAACGATGAAAACTTTGAAAAAAAATCACAATAATGAGAATTTACATGAATATTTACATTCCTTTACAGGAATTCAGTCCAAAACTAGTTAATGATCCTAACATTTATAATATTAAAAGGAAAGGCAAAAGGACATATCTTTAGGATCTTTTAATTTTGTTCTTCTCTAGCAGGCAAGTGTTTTTTAAAGTTGCTCCATTTTGGGCAGAAGGACGGGTGGCTAAGGGCAGGTTTGGAGGCTGCAGTTCACAGTGGTGAGCACAGCATGGTAACAGCAACTCCTGAGCAGTAGCAGGAGTTAGCACAGGCTAATTAGTGGTTGATGGGGGGGGGGGGAGGACCCCCGCTCATGGTGTGCTAATACATGGTAGAGCCAAAGTTCAAATCCAGCCAGGTCTACTGACACTACAGCATTCTGCTCTCTTTCCACCATGTGATACATATCCACTTGACTTTAAAGGCTAGTATTTGTTCCTCCAGACAAATTGAAATACAACTGTAATTGTTATCTTTTGGAAGTAACCAATTTGTTAATGGCCAACTGCTACATTTGACTGAGTAAAATTTCCAGAAAAAAATTTCTGTATCTATGTAATTAAAAAGAAAACATTGAGGCAGGCGAAGATAGTCATGAAGCTAGCAACCATGACAAACATTGTTGGGTGACCAAGTTTGGCTGCCAGTGCGAGGTACAACCTTGGTTACCTCTGGAGCACAGCATGTTTGCTTACTCTCAGTAAACACTTCCAAGAGGATTTCACCTCAGTCAGTGATTCTGGTCTCTTCTTAATCACCACTAATTTCTCAGCTACAGCTGTCCATCATCAAGTATACAAGCAAAGCAAATGTTTCATGTTAGTAGTTCAGCTGTTTCTTCAGCCTCAGCTAACCAGAACCACAGAATCTGAATTCAAAATAACAAATGGCCCAGATAATCTTTAAACTTCCCTCTGAAACTTCACATGCCAGGTAACTATCCTCCGCATTGCCCTCAATCTTCCAAGCTCCTACAGAACAGTTCACCAAGCACTGTATCCAATGGCTTTTCCTGTATAAAGTTGCAAAGTCCTTCCATAATCCTCCCCCGCAAAACATGGTCAGATCTGTTATAGCAGCAATAGCCCACAATCCAGATACTAACTTGTCTTAGGGTTTCTATTGCTGTGATGAAACACCATGACCAAAAAAAAGAAAGGGTTTATTTGACTTAAACTTGCACAGCACAGCTCAACAAGGAAGTCAGGACAGGAACTCTAACAGGGCAGGAACCTGGAGGCAGAAGCTGGTGCAGAAGCCATAGAGGAGTGCTGCTTACTGCCTTGCTCAGTCTGCCTTTTTATAGAACCCAGGACCACCAGCCCAGGAATGGCACCACCCACTATGGCCTGGGCCCTCCCCCACAAATCACTAATTAAGAAAATGCCCTACAGCAGTGGTTCTCAATTGTAGGTCACAACCCCTTTGGGGCTGAAATGCCCTTTCACAGGGGTCACCTAAGACCATTGGAAAAGGCAGATATTTACATTATGATTCATAACAGTAGCAAAATTAGTTATGAAATAGAAATGAAAAAAAATTGTTGTATGGTTGGGGGTCACCATAATGTAAGTAACTGTATTAATGGGTTACAGCATTAGAAAGGTTGAGAACCATTGCCCTACAAGTTTGCCTACAGTCTGAGTTGATGAAGGCATTTTCTTAATTGAGATTCCCTTCTCTCAGATGAATTATATGAAGTTGACATAAAACTATCCAGCACAAGAATCTATCACATTTTATCAAATCTAAAATGCTGTTATATAAAAATAAAAAGAAAACCATTATTTTTATGTACTGTTTGAAAGAAAAAGTGCTTCTTTTTTCACTTGATTTTACATGCGGGAGTGTTCTGCTTGCATGATATAAGTGTACCACGAATGTGCTATGCCTTGTCCATTAGTTACAGACAGTTGTCCTGGAGACAAACTTGGCTTCTCTGCAAGGTTAGCAAGTGCTATTAATCCCTGAGCCATCTTTTTAGTCATGAAAAAGTGATTCTAAAGAATATTAACTGAATGATGTATCTTACAACAACAGCATTAATGTAAAAAAAAAAAAAGCTTCAGAATTGAATAGTGGAATTCATACTCACTAAGCATAGCAGGATGGGTTATGATATTAGGCAGGTATCTTAGGGACCCATAGGCTCATTGTTTATAGACAATTTAGATCTTGAAAATGGTGTGTGTGGAGAAAGTCCCACAGATAAGAACATTACATGTCAGAAACATGAGTTAATTTCTGAAGGAAGCTTATGCCCATGAACCTGAACCAAACATCTAAGGGATCAAGTTTTCTTTCTTTCTTTCTTTTTTTTTTTTTTTTTTTTAGAATAAGAAGTAGGAGTTATACTTCAGTCACTCAATAGGAGAAGTGTCGATATGTCCTAAAGCCAATTATATTTTCAGAAGTTTTAATCTTTATTACTTTACAATCTAGTAGAAAACAATAGTAATACATAGTAAACAACGTTATACTCATACCTAAGATGTAGTCACAAGAACACTAAGAAATGAGTTTGAGGCCATTTTGGTCTACAGAGCGAGTTCCAGGATAGTCAGGGTTATAGACAAATCTTGTCTTGAAAAAATCAAAAGGGGGGAAGAAAAGAAGAACATTAAGACTAAAAAATGATGAGAAAAAATTGAAAAGAATTAAGTGCTCAGTAAGCACTGAAGGATTAAGGATTACAATTATTTCAGTATTACTTTCCTAAGTCTTTATGAAGAACCCAAAATCCAAGTTGAGCCATCCTGTCAAAAGACAGGGAATGATACTTTTGGTGATTAAGTGAGGGACAAGGAAGGCATCAAGCAGAAAGAAAAAAATTAATGTCCTTGATCCCAGTGTAAAATATAAATAGCTGCTCAGTGGGTGGATCAGCAAACTAGTTACGAGAACTCTGTAAGTCAGGTGGCGTCGCAAGACTGGAATGCAACCAGTCATGTCACTTTGATCTGAGAAGCAAGTAGAAGTGACTCAGCACTTTGGGAAAAGCGTGGAATATGATCTTTTGAAGAAGGAATATAAAGTTGGTGAA